AATAATTTCAATTCAAATCCAGAAAATACATTTCAGGAGGAAAAACCAAGTAAAATTTTGTGCGGAAAAAAAGTAAGCAAATTAAAATGAAATAGCTTCCATAGCACACTTTAAATCAAAGTTTTACTTTTGAGATTGTAAAATTTCCCATTAAAAAAAAAAATAATTTTCCATCAAAAAAAGTAAAAAATAAATTGTCAAAGAAGCAAAAGTAAAAGAATTGAAGAATAATGAAAAATACTTACCTATTGGTAAATTTCTTTGAATAAAAAAAGGGTTTCACGTAGGGTAAATAACAAATTATGACTGCATAGAGTGTTAAGGCATGAAACCAAATGCTTCCTAATTTGATATAAAATCGCATCCATTCTCGAATCTCAAATCTAAAAATGCAACGATTGCTTTATAAGTTGATCAAGTTATCAGATCATGAAATTTCAATATCGATCATTTTAATACAAAATAGATTTTTTGAACTGTGAAAAAAAATGTGAGAAATTTGATTTTTTTCTATTCATCCTTATGTAGGTATCAATTTTACATCAGTGCTTTATTATTCCAAACTGAAACTAAAGAGACGCTTGTGACAATCTAAATGAATTGAAATGAATCGAAATGAATTGAAAACGAAACTTACAAATGTAATTTGCTTTCTGTAATGGAAATAAATAGTTTTGCAACATTAATTGCATCAATTATAGAAGCAGCAATAGCCGATGTTACGCAAACAATCATTAAATTCAGTGTGAAATATTTGAAAAATCCATCTTTCACTTTCGTAAATATTAAATACAATATGAAAGGAATAATAATAACATTACCAATTGTTGCAAGACACGCTACCACGTGGCGTCTGTTGTATAAAGATGCTAAACAAGCTTAATATATATGATCAATTTTGTTCGAAGAAATTTTTTCTATTTATTAATACCTTTTCTCTGTTATATTAATTTGTAATATTAACTTGTATAGTTTAGTCACAATATTAAACTTACTTAATGAAAATAAAATATATAAAGTTGATGATACAGTAATTTGCAAGTCGTTATTTTCACAATTGATTTCAAAAATAATCAATCGATCATTGCAGAGAAAAATATAACTTTTCATTAAATGTCATTTTAGTAATATCTAAGACAATCAATCATATTTGTTGATAAATTTTTTTTATTCATTAATTAGCATGTACAATCATTTCATGAAAAGATGAAAATCTAATATACTAGATGATGGATTTTTCTAAATCATTTCATTCATGCGAGAAATTAATTTAAAAAATCGTCAAGAAAAATCTTGAACAAAATTCTCGAGCATTTAATTTAAAAACTGATTAAATACGAATAGATAAATAAAGTTTGATTGGGCTATAAACTTACAACATGACAGCCCCAAGCCTGTACATATAGGCATATTCAAACTACCAATGCTATTGATATTGGAGTTAGTATCGTTAGAATAATAAGTGTCGTTCATTCCGCTAAAAACAATAATTTCTTCACGCTATCAAGGAAATATTTAAGTTAACTGTGACGTAATTTTCTACGTGAATAGAAATACTAATCACGTAATTACTATTTCGATCACTACTGCAAGTCAACTAGGTCAGAGGATGCACTTTCAAAACTATATAAATGCACCATATTTACAGAAATTTGAAGCATTACAAAAAAAGATTATTCATTCATCTTATTTAAATATATAATTAAAAAAAAAAAAAAAGAAGCATACATTTGAATTGTCCTTTTTTTGGCTTCAATAATCTTTTTGAAAGTTTAAATTGCAATTCAGTATGAAAGCTTAAATTATTTTAACAATAAATACTGTAACTTTATTTTTGATTTGATCGATGGCTATCGATTTGTCTTACCTTTATGATATTAATAGCGCGTTAAAACTGATGCCAATAGCGGTAGTAAATATTGCAGGTATAATCTCACCGATAAGACATAATTGCAATTTAAAGTTTCATGTCACTTTATTCAGCCATTACTGAAGTTATTATCTCACGCGTCATTAGGGTTGTTTATCGTTTAATATGATATGACTTAAGTCATTAAAAACTTTATTAAGGTAATTAATATGACATTTGAAAATAGCTACCTGCTATATGAATGTTGTAAAATGACTTATGAGATAGAAAATTCGTCATCAATAATGACTTATTATTTGATTATTTTTGTTGACTAATTTTTCTGACTAGCACTGAATGTGAAATGAAATTTTTGCTGATGGTAGTAGCTTTCATATAAATTTTTAACTTTTATTTCATTTTCATTAGTGATCATAAATTTTGCTAATTTCCTTTCTTTCTCAAATCGAAATATGCGTATTTTTTTTTCTTATTCCTTCTTCAAATATGATATTTTATCAAGTTATTAAATAGTAATAATGGCAAATTAGTAAAACTAACTTGATGCATTCTAAATGAATTTTATATTTTAAATTTTGTATTTTTCCTTTTATAAGGGAAAATACAAAATTGTTTTAGGTTTTTGCTTTAAAAATTTCAGTCATAATCGATTGAAATCTCAATATGATATACCAATGCAGTTGCCACTGTCGTTGCTAATTTACTGCGTAAAGAAGAGTCTTGAAATTTTCAGCAATTACATAAATTTTACTTAAATAATTACATATTTAGTAATATTCACATTAAAAAAGATGGAATTAAACAGATAAAAAAGTTACTTTGAAAGTTTTAATTTTTTTTCCTGTACTATTCAATTTCAATTAGAAGAAAGTGTAATATTTATTGGTTTCATAATTGAAATTTCTTGCTATTCTTGAATAAAATATAATTTAGTTTTTTAGATTTAGAAAATTCATAGTTATTCAAAAATTGTTAAATCAGTAAATATGAAGCTAAGCTATCTGTTTTATGTGAATGCATCATCTCATTTATAATAATTAAATTTGAATCAAATTAAATGATACTGTAAAATACCTTATCAACAGCTGAAAACAACTTTAGAAACAGACCATCTGCTCATCGAGATTATTACTGAATACATCAGAAAATGCTGACTACAACTGCTGAATATATTAGAAAATTCAGACTACAGCTGGAAATGATAATTAATTAAATATTTATTCCATAAAATGAAAGGCTCTTAACAGCTTAATTACCATCGATAATATTCACTTTTTTATATAAACAAAAATAATTTTTTATGCATCTATCACTTTTCAATAGGTCAAAATCATTGGAAAATGGCCATTTGCTATGATTACTAGTGGCAAAGAATATTTTTCAGTTAAATTTAAGTCAGTTTGCTTCAAAATCATGCCAGATTTTTAAGCCACGAGAAGTTAGCATCAGTTTACTGCTCTTACTTAAAAAAGTGATAGGATCAATTAATCCGATTATTGCAGTTATCATCTATGACAAATGAGAAAACCAGGAACATATGATCTATTTTATCTTTCCTATCAGTTCTTCTGCTCATCGCTTGTCTTATCAAAAATTAAAATATTTCATTGTTTTTTTTTTTGATTTATAGATAAACAATGAAAAAGCTACTCCGTAGTTCTTATTTCAGTAGATATCCATTGCTGAATGAAACATACAAAACAAACGACCCAAATTGCAACTGATTTGTGAATGGATGATCAAATATATTCTTTACAATGTTTTCAACATTGAATTTTAAAACAAAAATCTAAAAAATAAAAAATAAAAAAAAATAAAAAAGTCAAGCAGAATGCAGATTCATTTATGGTTCAGCGATAAAATGGTAAAAAGAATTTTTTACAAAAAAAAAAAGACTAACAGTAAATAAATGGTACAAATATTAAAAGCTCTAATGCATCCTCTACCAATGAACAATGATCTGTGATAAGTTTCTTTATCATTTATCATATGTAAATATACTTTGAATTGTAGCTTAATTATAGATTACATGTAAAATCTCCTCTGCGACTCTTCATTGTGTCATGGAAACTTGTGTGACCTTTCTGAAGTTGCACTGCATATGTCTCGGGTGCGATTTCCCAAGTCAAATATGCCCGAAGTGCATAGTCAAACAAAGTATGTCCATGGGTAAGGTAGACTGATTAGCTTTAGGGCAATCACTTAGGAGAACAAGAAGACAAAATTGTCCGTCTACAGGAATAATACTCTAAACAAATCTCTTCGCTACTATTTTGTTCGGTAGATAAACTTCAGGTGTAAAGGATGAGATCAGTTCTGCACATACAGCAACCTATCTAAAAAGATCAGGACCTGAACGGCATGTAAGGAACAAAATGACAAGTGTAAGATGCATTGATCATTGAAAATCGCAGAGGCAGTCCAAAACTTTGTTTCATGCGACTGTCATCTTTGGAGATGACGATTAAGAAGCCTTTTCAAAGGAGGTGGGAGAAAGGCCTAGAAAAGGTTTTATTGAATTTGTTTTGGGTTTCGGAGAGCTTTGGTCGAACTATAGTTTATTGGTAAAGAAAAACAGATGAAAACAAAGGATTTAAATCCTTCTACAGTGGACATTGACTTGCAACAAGCAGTGATTACAGTGATTAAAGAGCTATCAGATGGTGGTTATTCTTCATATATCAAAAGATGGGTTCTAATATTGTAGCTTCTCAAAGAATGACTATTAGCTTAATTCACATTGTAAGCAAATTTGGTTTGGAACAAAAGAGTAGTTTTTAACATATTAAACAATACAATACCATTTGTTATGAGATGAAAATGTCTAGACAAGCAGATAAGCTCAACTACAATGGGAAAATGAGTGTTGAATAGATGATTGCTTACATAGTGCAATTTGAAACAGTTTTACAGTTCTAATGTTCAATTAAGACAAATTTTAGTATTATGAGTCTGAGTATTTTATATATTTTGTAAGTTATTTAGACATTCGCGAGATTATTTCGAATTTCACAACAGCGAATCTTGAACGTTCCATCAGCGCTCTCTCCGCACCATTCTAAATGTCCACTGTACTGGTTACACGACCAATATTATCATCTTCAAATAAACTACCACAACAATCTCAGCCTTAAACACATCCATCAGTCACCCACTTGGCCTGAAATTGGACAACATGGACACATATTATCATACATCGGCCAGCCAGCCTCTTTGAGAACGTAAATGGAATCTGTCTCGCGAAGAAAAGACAACGTATTAAAAACCGTTCTGCTCTGTCAACACCGCCAGATGTGACCTTTCGTTGTCATTTTTTGTGACAGCATTTGCTTATTCCGTACTGGTCTTTTTTAGCGACCAAAGTATTTGCAGCAAGAATGTGCGAATTTTTCCTACACAAATGTTCGTTCGCTAAGCCAAGCCATAACATAAAAGTTATTATAGAAATGGAATGCAACTTCAAAATTAGGAAGAAAAAATTGATCAAAGTGCAATTTCAGTAGCATTTAATTCTGTCTATTTTCTGCTCATTTAGTATTTATACAAAGTATATTTTTACCGTTTGAATTGACTTCACTTCCGAAGTCCATTTCCTTCTACTAAATAATGAAAAAGTTGCATGGCGATATGGCTCAAGGGCAAGAATAGTAATGGTGATAATAGCGATCGATCGTATCTAAAATTAGATAACATTAAAACATTGCACTAAAGACGAGGAAGAAAGATAATGATGATAATCAAAGTTAGTTACCTCATAAGAGTAGTATATAATTAAATGAAGTGTTTTTTTGAAATAACTATCAACAAAATCGCTTTCGCAACCAGCAGATATACAGATAACATTTGCGCATGCGTTAACTAAAATGTACTTGTATTAATCTCAGAGTAAAAGAAATAAGCTAAGCTATAATTTTATGAACTCGTCATTTCTGATTTAAGATATGATAGTAATTTTGAGGAGAACTGAAAGGACTTCTGGCAAATCTTCTAATGAAATTATAATTTCAGTGAAAATGCATCAATGTTGTGATAAGTTTTTATTTGTTAATAATTATATGAAAATGATATAAATGATGAAAACTTACCAAACATAGGCAAAGTGATGAATTCAATGGAATAACTATATAAAATGAATGAATATAAACGCTTCTGTTGCGCTTTTGCAACTCGAATAGAGTCAACACCGAGTGGTTTATACTTACTTATTTTAAACGATCCCTGAAATAATGAAATGATTATTGTTGCAGAGATCATTGATAATTTCATTTATAGTGATAGTTAAAATGAAATTACTTGAATTTACCAAAAAAAAAAAATTACCTTCTCAAATACTTCTACTTCTAAATACTTCTAACTGACTAATCGTAATTATATTCCTCATTCTAAGGAATATAATTATTTTGATGGAATTTCTTATAATTTTAAAAGTTATAAATTTTTACTATTAGAGCAGCAATGAATAATGAAATAAACAATGTGATATGTGTTAGAAAATAAGGTATACGATATATGGACTCTGTAAATAGATAAGTTACAGAAGTACTCCAAATAAGGACTGAAGTATGTAATGCAACGTAGTATGGTTTTTGACTCCTGAAAATAGAGAAAAGATAATAAACCATCAATAATTTCAATTCAAATCCAGAAAATACATTTCAGGAGGAAAAACCAAGTAAAATTTTGTGCGGAAAAAAGAACAGAAAATGAAATAGCCTTCATATATTACATTCCAAATTAAAAGCTTTATTTCAACACATACATTTTGAGATTTCACATTAAAATAATATAATAATAATTTTCTATCGTAAAAAGTAAAAGAAATAAAGAATAATACTTACCTATTGGTAAATTTCTTTGTATAAAAAAAGGGTTTCACGTAAGGTAAATAACAAATTATGACTGCATAGAGTGTTAAGGCATGAAACCAAATGCTTCCTAATTTGACATAAAACCGCATCCATTCTCGAATCTCAAATCTAAAAATGCAACGATTGCTTTATAAGTTGATCAAGTTATCAGATCATGAAATTTCAATATCGATCATTTTAATACAAAATAGAACTGATTTTTTTTGAACTGTGAAAAAAATGTGAGAAATTTGATTTTTTTCTATTCATCCTTATGTAGGTATCAATTTTACATCAGTGCTTTATTATTCCAAACTGAAACTAAAGAGACATTTGTGACAATCTAAATGAATTGGAAATGAATTGAAAACGAAACTTACAAATGTAATTTGCTTTCTGTAATGGAAATAAATAGTTTTGCAACATTAATTGCATCAATTATAGAAGCAGCAATAGCCGATGTTACGCAAACAATCATTAAATTCAGTGTGAAATATTTGAAAAATCCATCTTTCACTTTCATAAATATTAAATACAATATGAAAGGAATAATAATAACATTACCAATTGTTGCAAGACACGCTACCACGTGGCGTCTGTTGTATAAAGATGCTAAACAAACGTGTCGTATTAACAGTTTCTTCTCTCTCATATTATTTTATGATACCAAAATGTGTGCTATAGCACCAATATTGAATTTATTTAATAAAAATAGAATATATAAAAGTTGGGAATACATGCTTTTCATGCCACTATTTTTTCACAACTGATTTAAAAAATAAACAATCAATGGCACAAACAATCTATCATATTTGTCTCTAAAATTCTTTTATTCATTGATTAGAACAATGAACAATATTTTCATGAAAAGAGCTATCGAAAATATCCTTAATTCTTTGTTACATATGGGTTATAACGAAAAGTATATAATAAAGTTGAAAATAAAATTGTAAACTTACAGCATAAGAGACCCTGGCCTGTACAACTGGGTAAAGTTACATTTCCTTCGATATAATTACTTTCATTAAAATAAACGATATCATTCATTTGGCTGCAAACAATATTTTATTTAGAAGAGTAAAGGCGGTAACATCAAAGATCACGTAAGTTTCCGTTTAATTAATCAAAAGGTACCATCTAAAAGTCATCGAAGCACGGATGAAATCTATTCATCAAACTAATGAAGTTCTGCCGTGGAGTATTGTAGATATCTAACAAATATATTAATCTAAAATGTTATGAGTCGTTACTCAAACTTTATTGCACAATAAATAAAAGTTATATATAAAAAAGAAAGAAAGCGTTTGTTCTTCATCATTTATTAATGTTTTATTTTGATGGAGAAAATAAAAGAAAATAATAAGTGCTTGCAAGTATTATTACTATTTTAATTTGGAAGGATTCTCCTTTTTATCAATTTAAAAATCTCTGTCAAAATCATAATATCATTAAGTGCCCTTAATTTTCTGCATGAAATACTTATTCCATTGAAATCAGAACTGAAATATTTCATTATTATTCTTCATCTCAACTTTCCGTCACTTATTATTATCTTTGCTTTTTTTTTGTTTTTATTTTCCAGTCATCCTATGCTTATATGATTGCAGTAGACATTGTGAAAATTTGCATTGATTAGGTTGAGCATAAATTAATGATCCCATTTATTTCAACTATTTAATAATTTCAAATGGTTTTGAATACTGCTCAAATAAAATTTAGTTATTGAAATAGTCGTTAAATGAAGTAGGACAAGGAAGTTCTCTCTAAAACATTTAAAGTGAATTATTAAGAATATTAAACTATATAATCATTTGATATTTATAATGACATCAAATGATCTCATGAAATTTTTAAAATTATAATTTCATCTATTTCTAGTGATGCAATATTAAATAAGCAAGTGTTTACATTTGTAGAAATATTTCTTAAAATTATTATATTTCACCTGGTGTTTTGCCGAGATACTAGCATTAAAAAATTTTAATTTATGCTATTATTCTAATCATTTCCGGTTACATATAGCTTTTTTCATTTTATTCATTTTTTTTTTTCATTTATACAACATAATTTGCATCCAATTTTAATTCTAAATATTTCTTTAAAAAAAAAAAATCAAAAATTGTCACAGAGAGCAGTCGTCAATTCATATTATAGTAGTACTTTCTACAATAACACTAGACACAGAATCTAAACTTAATGGAAATAATTGTCAAAATGAATTTCATTTATTTTTATTAGAAAAAAATTATTCTCTAACATCTTCTTTACTTGTTATTCATATTGAATATGTACTTAACTTTTGCATAATTCATAAATTAAAATCTTAAAAATTGAGTTTAATGTCACATTCACCTCTTTTCTTAAAGGACATTTATTCGATGCATGATGTATACTTTTAATTCAAATGACTTTTGATTAAAATAAAATATAAATTATTTGATTTCATTGAAAAAAAAAGTGATTTATAGAGAAAATTTTAATTGAAAATTTGAGGCAGATGAACAATATGCAATTATTAATTAATTTAATAAATCAAATCTAGTCGAGAATTTTTACATTTGTAATAAAAATACTTTAATTAGTATATAATAGTGTATATTACAACATCAACTGAATTTATTTTTTTTCCTCTTTATTTATAAATTTCAAAAATTATATATGAAAAGAGAAAAATTATGGTAATGTGAATTTATTATCTCAAACATATAATGTAAATTTGTTAGTTTCAATTTAAAGAAGGAATATTATTGCTAAACATTTATCGAATAGAGCTATGTTTGCTTCTAAATCAAAATTATATTGCATATACTTTATAGATCAAAAAATATTGCAAAACATTTTTCCAGAGGTTCTACAAAGAAAAAACTTATTCTCAATCCTGTAATTGGAACAAATTAATGTGAAAATATATGAAAAAAAGGCAGCTAGTCAATATAGAAAAAAAAATGTTTACAAAATTTGACAAAACAAACAAACAAACAAACGAAAAAAAAACAGCAAAAGAAGAAAATCCCATTATAAAAAAAAAAAAAAAAAAAGAAAGAAAAAATCAACATATCATCAAGAAATATAAGCTAGCAAACTTTGCAAGAAAACATTGATTAATAATAAGTAAATCGTAAGGTAGGCATTAAATGCTTTATTTGAAATAAAATATTTAATGAATTTTAATATTTTGAAACTCCTTTTGTTGATTTCGTTGTAGTAATTTCGGTCCGATAGCGCTCAGTACCACCTCCAATAGTTGGTTCAAAATTATGTGATCGTTTCACTGATGTTTTCTTATCATAAACTTCATCTTCAGCTACTGAATCACTAATAACTGATTCCAAATCACGATCCTATGAAATGAAATCACATCATATGCTTATATCCTTACTTATCATTAATTTTAGTACAAATAATTTCACTTTAATTATGAAAATATATGTATTTATCCATTTGTATGGATCGATATTTGCTAATTTCTTTACTGATCGTTTATTATTTTTATTTTTGTTTATTTATTTGGAATAAAATAGATATTATTTATCACTAACCGTACTAAATTCACAATTTCTACTTGTTGTTGTATTCCAATCACGTCGTGCATTACCAATGCTAAATTCTGCTATACTTTCACCTCTTTCTTGTTCATCTTTATCCAGCAATGAACTAGAATTATGTGTTCCAACCTGAAATTTTACAAAAATAAATTTAGAATAAAAAATGAACAATGATTGTAAATTTTAATGGAATAAATGAAATCTATTTTATACAGTAAATCTAACCTGGCATGATGAATGTGATTCGGTTGTAACTTCAATTGGTGGATATACGTGAAATTCTGCGGTAGTGCCGTGAATATCAGCAGTGGTTAATGTTTTTTTGGTTTCTTTTCTTGTAACATCAGTGATCACGTGTCGTTTAATTTCTTCACGTATGATATATTCGCTTGATGATTGTGACGTAGAATCAAATGCATCATTATCACGATCGAGATGTACACGTGGAATACGCATACCATCATCGAGATAGTCATGAAGTCTTGATACGGCTAACGATCGATGCTGCTGATCATCCATCATACCATTTCCAGATTTTAGTTTCGCACGTGAGATACCTGAGAAAAAGAAAATTAAGAAATAAACTCTTAGCATAAATTTACAAGCGATTTTTCATCAATATGAAACAACGTCATTAAAAAAAAATAATAAATAATTAATTATTTAATTTCATTCCTTCAAAAGTGTGTGTATGTTTTATATATTTCTCAAAAGAAAGAAAAAAAAAAACATTTATACACAACAAATTGATAGCATCGTTAAATATTATATATTAAAATTATTATTGTTCACAATTTTAGCTTTAAAAAAACTAACCAATTTCAGGATAATATTCATGACCTGCGGCACTCATTGCTGAAAAATCAGCACCACTTTTGCTTGATTTTGATGCTTCTAGGGTTGACCAAGGCCAAGCACCTTTGCGATATGTGAATGGTTCACGATATAATAAATTATGACGCTTGAAACAGATACATTTCATGCAGAAATATAGCAAACAGCTGTAAAGAAGGATAAATATATAATTTAGAAGAAAAAAAAAAGCTAAAAGTTTCAAATTTTATTCCTATTTTATTTCAATTTTTGGAAAATCAAAATCAAAAAAATACCAAGGTGTTAGTAGAAGGAAAAGAACTGTCAGAATAACAAGTAGTATCATTAAAGCTTTCGATGGTGCCACATCACAGAATTCACCAGACCAACCATCTCTCCACATATACGTGGTATTGTGTTAAGTATTGTGTACACAATCACCGTGCGAATTACATAGATCACAAAAGTAATGCACCGCAAAGTTCCATCTGGAATTTGAGCGTAGAACATTCAGCTACATTCATTTCCATCAGTAGACAAATCCATCCATTGGATCTTCTTCTGGTCCCTTTTTGTTTTGATTGTATTGTCTCCTTTTAGTGAATTAATTGTGGCTAAGGCTAAGTTTCATCCTTAACATTATATCTGTTTACTTTCTTCTCCTTTGACTCCGCTTGACTTCTAGCAACTTCTTCATTTCTTGTCAAGCATTATCCGATACCTTTTTAACTGATCAACTCATCGACGCTTTTTTTAATTGGTATAATTTATTCACTATCCATGTTGGTAATTTATGCTCAATTGAAATTTCGATATTTGGATGCTCTAAATTTTTAAGCTGTCAAAGTACTCTCTGCATGGCTTAGATGATTGTTTTTCAATAACGGTCATTTCTTCAGTTCATTGTAAAGTGTTTTCCTTATAATGAAAGGTTTACCATATTTTTCCATTAGTAAACCCATTATTACATCGTAAATTTCTGGCACTATATCATAATCTTTTACAGTTTGCAATGCATCTCCTTTTAGACAAGATATCAAGTAGTTTAACTTCTGAATGACTGGGATGTTTTGTTCATGAACTGCTACCTTGATACTACTAAAATTATTTAGTAGTAATTGTGGGTATTTTACTTACGTTTGATTCGTGAGAAACACACCATTCTCTGAGAATGATTCTCTGGTATCTTCTTGATTTAAATGTTGAAGTAATAATCATTACTATATATTTCAAGAGTAATGATTGTTTCTCTAATTCTAGTACTTAAGCTTAAAATACCTTGTCAATCGTCAACCATATTGGCATATTTCGCTTCCTCCTCCTTCCTCTTCGTTGTGGCAGTCATTCCCTGAATGATATTCCAACCATATTTGATTGGCTGTTTCGAACAATTCAGCATAATATTCGAGATATGTGATTTTCTCTTTGACGATCCGCCATTTAATTTCATATTGTTGCTTGAGTTCCTCTTGCGGAAGTGTTTAACTCGAGAGGGTTAGATCGAGTTTGCTAAGTTCTCGAATTCTTGATTTTGATATTTCGGTTCCTTTAATTATACTTTCAGACATATTTCCCGGCTCATGGCAATTTAATTGCCGTAAACTTAGGGTTCAGTCTGAATCTCTCTTGTGGCTCAGAGTTGAATTGGATTTTCGTATGCTCAAGAGTCATCCTTGTTTGTTATTGCGATTGGTATAGACAAATGTGTTGAATGAAAGGTTTGTTATAAAGATTTTATTCGCTAGTAACCAGTATATAGGTATTAATCTATAGCAATGATACAGTGATAAATTTGTAGAGAATCTACGAATGAAACGAAAAAAATGGATGGCTTATGTGATTAAAGAGCTATCAGATGGTCGTTATTCTTCATATATCAGAAGATGGGTTCTAATATTGTAGCTTCTCAAAGAATGACTATTAGCTTAATTCACATTGCAAGCAAATTTGGTTTGGAACAAAAGAGTAGTTTTTAACATGTTAAACAATGCAATACCATTTGTTATGAGATGAAAATGTCTAGACAAGCAGATAAGCTCAACTACAATGGGAAAATGAGTGTTGAATAGATGATTGCTTACATAGTGCAATTTGAAACAGTTTTACAGTTCTAATGTTCAATTAAGACAAATTTTAGTATTATGAGTCTGAGAATTTTATATATTTTGTAAGTTATTTAGACATTCGCGAGATTATTTCGAATTTCACAACAGCGAATCTTGAACGTTCCATCAGCGCTCTCTCCGCACCATCCTAAATGTCCACTGTACTGGTTACACGACCAATATTATCATCTTCGAACAAGCAAGGATTAACAGTATAGAGGCTGCTTGAGAGATAGTTAAGCTGCTTGGTCACATCTCCAGGATGAACAATAATCGCTGCCCTAAGATTGCGATCTGTGTTGAATTCGCTACTTCTGTCGCAACAATCTCAGCCTTAAACATATCCATCACCATCAGCCATCCACTTAGCCTCAAATCGGACGACATGGATATATATTATTATACATAGGCCAGCTAGTGTCTTTGAGAACTATGTGGAATCTGTCTTGCGAAGAAAAGACAACGTATTAAAAACCGTTCTGCTCTGTCAACACCGCCAGATGTGACCTTTCGTTGTCATTTTTTGTGACAGCACTTGTTTATTTCGTATTGGTCTTTTTTTTTTAGCGACCAAAGCATTTCTTCCTACACAAATGTTCCTTCGCTATATGTAAATTATTATTATAGAAATGGAATCCAATTGCAAAATCAGAAAGGAAAAGTTGATCACAGTGGCTATTATCATTTGAATAGGATTTAATTCTGTCTTATTTTTCGTTCATTTGGTATTTTCACAGAGTATATTTTCACTGTTTGAATTGACTTCACTTCCGAAGTCCATTTCCTTCTACTAAACAATGAAAAAGTTGCATGGCGATATGGCTCAAGGGCAAGAATAGTAATGGTGATAATAGCGATCGATCGCATCTAAAATTATGTGACACTGAAAGAAAGAGGAATTACTGGAAATGATAAAAGATAATCAGTGATGTGAAAAGCAATGATTCCTTAATTAATTACCTCATAAAAGTAGTAAATGATTAAATTAAGTATTATTTTGAAATAACTATCAACCAAATCGCTTTCGCAACCAGCAGATATACAGATAATATTTGCGCATGCGTTAACTAAAATGTACTTGTATTAATCTCAGAGTAAAAGAAATAGGCTAAGCTATAATTTTATGAACTCGTCATTTCTGATTTAAGATATGATAGTAATTTTGAGGAGAACTGAAAGGACTTCTGGCAAATCTTCTAATGAAATTATAATTTCAGTGAAAATGCATCAATGTTGTGATAAGTTTTTATTTGTTAATAATTATATGAAAATGATATAAATGATGAAAACTTACCAAACATAGGCAAAGTGATGAATTCAATGGAATAACTATATAAAATGAATGAATATAAACGCTTCTGTTGCGCTTTTGCAACTCGAATAGAGTCAACACCGAGTGGTTTATACTTACTTATTTTAAACGATCCCTGCAATAATGAAATGATTATTGTTGCAGAGATCATTGATAATTTCATTTATAGTTATCATTGAGTTTAGAAAAGTATGTGATAGTTAAAATGAAATTACTTGAATTTACCAAAAAAAAAAATTACCTTCTCAAATACTTCTAACTGACTAATCGTAATTATATTCCTCATTCTAAGGAATATAATTATTTTGATGGAATTTCTTATAATTTTAAAAGTTATAAAATTTTACTATTAGAGCAGCAATGAATAATGAAATAAACAATGTGATATGTGTTAGAAAATAAGGTATACGATATATGGACTCTGTAAATAGATAAGTTACAGAAGTACTCCAAATAAGGACTGAAGTATGTAATGCAACGTAGTATGGTTTTTGACTCCTGAAAATAGAGAAAAAATAATAAACTATCAATAATTTCAATTCAAATCCAGAAAATACATTTCAGGAGGAAAAACCAAGTAAAATTCTGTGCGGAAAAAAGAACAGAAAATGAAATAGCCTTCATATATTACACTCCAAATTAAAAGCTTTATTTCAACACATACATTTTGAGATTTCACATTAAAATAATATAATAATAATTTTCTATCGTAAAAAGTAAAAGAAATAAAGAATAATATTTACCTATTGGAAAATTTTTTTGTATAAAAAAAAGGTTTCACGTAGGGTAAATAACAAATTATGACTGCATAGAGTGTTAAGGCATGAAACCAAATGCTTCCCAATCTAACATAAAATCGCATCCATTCTCGAATCTCAAATCTAAAAATGCAACGATTGCTTTATAAGTTGATCAAGTTATCAGATCATGAAATTTCAATATCGATCATTTTAATACAAAATAGATCTGATTTTTTTTGAACTGTGAAAAAAATGTGAGAAATTTGATTTTTTTCTATTCATCCTTATGTAGGTATCAATTTTACATCAGTGCTTTATTATCCCAAACACTTTATTATTCCAAACTGAAACTAAAGAGACGCTTGTGACAATCTAAATGAATTGGAAATGAATCGAAATGAATTGAAAACGAAACTTACAAATGTAATTTGCTTTCTGTAATGGAAATAAATAGTTTTGCAACATTAATTGCATCAATTATAGAAGCAGCAATAGCCGATGTTACGCAAACAATCATTAAATTCAGTGTGAAATATTTGAAAAATCCATCTTTCACTTTCATAAATATTAAATACAATATGAAAGGAATAATAATAATATTACCAACTGTTGTAAAATATGCTATCACGTGGCGTTTGTTGTATAAATATGCTAAACAAACGTGTCGTGATTTTGTTTACTATCAAAATATTTTGGTTTAGCACAATATTGAATTTATTTAATAAAAATAGAATATTGGAATACAGTAATTTTCATGCCACTATTTTTTCACAACTGATTTAAAAAATAAACAATCAATGGCACAAACAATCTATCATATTTATCTCTAAAATTCTTTTATTCATTGATTAGAACAATGAACAATATTTTCATGAAAAGAGCTATTGAAAATATCTTTTAAGTCTTTGTTACAAAGAATCGTAACGAAAAGTAAGTTGAAATAAAATTGTAAACTTACGGCATGAGAGACCCTGGCCTGTACAATAAGGTAAGCTTACATTTATTTCGATATAATTACTTTCATTGTAATAAATGGTGTTATTCATTTAGCTGAAAACGATATTTTATTTGGAAGAAAAAAATAATAAACAATTAAAAGCAAAAGCAATCAAGTCGAAGTCTATGTAAGTTTCTGTTTAATGCAAAATGTACAAGTCATCGATGATGGATGAAATCTACTCATCAAGGTTGTGTGTCGTGCAATGTATTTGACAAAAGCTTACAAAAAATTTGAGAATAAATTTTTTGCAATTTTTTGCAGGTAAGTAACAAATATATTAATGTGGACAGTTATGTCTTTACTTAAGTAATAAGTAATTCGTCCAAAGTCACATATAAAAGGAAGGAAAGCTGTTAATTCATCACCTGTTAATGTTTTATTTTGATGAAAAAAAAACAGAATAAAATAATAACTGCTTGCACTTTTTGTTACTAATGAAATTTTCATTGTCATTCTTTTTTTATTATGTTTAAAATCTCAATCAAAATCAGATACCATTAAATGTCTTTAAGTTTTTACATTAAACATTCATTTTATTGAAATTACAACAGACAATTCATTGTTCTTCATCTCATTTATTCAATAATTTCAAATTGTAATGTTCTCGACTACTATCACCATTTATCATTACCCTTGTTTTTTTTTTTTTTTTTTTTGTTATTTTATATTTCACTCGTCTCATGCTTGTACAATTATAGTAGATGTGGTAAAAATTCGGACTGATCAGTTCAAACACATTTGATGATCCTTATCATTTTGAATATTTAATAATTTCAAATGGTTTTGAGTAGAACTCCAGCAAAATTTAGTACTGAAATAATCATTCAATGAAGTCAGACAAAAAGGTTTTTCTTAAGCCATCAAAAATGAGATATTAGTAGATCTTGAACTTTTCAAACAGAAATTTATTAATATCTTGGCGATGAAGGACTAAAAATGAGTGAAATTATATCATAATAAAAATATCATGACAACGTTATTTGTTATCATAATTATAACAAACTTTCACTTGTACTTGCAGCTATTTCAACTTCAGTTACATACAATGTTTTCAATTATTCCCGTTCCAACCTAATTTGCATTCAGTTCAAATTTAAAAAATTTGTTTTTAATCAAAATTTACCAAAGCGTTGCTTCGCCTCAGCAGCAAAATACTTCATGCAATAACATTGGCTAATCGTTGGAAATGATTGTAAAAATGAACTTCATTCATTTTTACTGGAATAAAAAATTGTTTTCCAGTAGTACATACATCTTTTTTAATTTGTTATCGTTTTGAAATATATTCTTAAGTATATTTCATAAATTAAAGTCTTAAAAATTGAGATTGATATCACATCTACATTTTTTTATTACTGAGAATTTATTGCATGTATAGACACAAATCCAAACAGTGAAAACGTTTAAGCACTTTTGACAAAAAAAAAAAGAAAAAGGAAAAAGATTCAATTCAAATGATTTATGATTCATAAGAGAAAAGACTTTTAATGTAAATGACTTTTATTCAAATAAAATATGAATTATTTAATTCCATTGAAAAAAAAAAACTGATATACAAAGAAAAATTTTAATTGAAAATATGAAGCAAAAAAATAATTTACAGTTACTAATTAACTAAGTAAATCAAAACTAGCATTTATACTAAAAATACACAGTAATACAATTCGAGAAAGAAATTACTGTATTGCAAATTGTTATATTGTAAAAACATTATAATGCAATTTGGAAAAGAATTGAAGTATAACAATATGAATTTAAAAAAAAGCCAAATCATAAAAACATGTTATCAAAAAATAAAAGTAATTGCAAAAAAAAAAAAAAAAAAATTGTTGAAATAATGTAAAATTGCAGCAAAAAATCAAAGAATCAAAAGTGACATAGATTTATTAGAGTTAATAATTAATAACAACATTCACTAATGGTAAATAAATCGTATTTACATAAAAAACATGAACACACATTGGCATACAGGACAGCATGTAGTTATTAGATGCTTGACTTGAAACAAAATATTTAATGAATTTTAATATTTCGAAACTCATTTTTGTTGATATTTTGGTACAATTCGATAAGTAATTCAAAATTATGTTTCAAAATGACAAACAAATAAATTAACACGGTATTATATAATATTAAGGGATTTTACAAAAATCAGACGTGAACATTTCAATGAATATTGAGAAGGACGCAGAAAAAGAAAAAAAAAATTTCTATCAATTTAAAATTTGCAAGAATTTTTGTAGAAAAATATGCAAAATATTTTCATTAAATAAGTAATTCCTTCTTGTGCAGAAATTGATTGAAAATAAAAATTTTACTAAATCCATTGGTTTTATGTCACTAATCTGCATTCAATTAAAATTTTAAGAAAAAAAAAGGAACCAATTCATAAATTTTGCTTACAATAGATCCAAAATCGATTAGTTTGAGAACCTCTACATAAGAAAATGATAAAAATTGATTTGAAAGTAGCAAAAGTACCAAGGGGATATAAACAGAGGTTGAAAATATCAATTTTCTCATATTATTCGTTTTTGTTTCAGATAGAATAAAACGGGAACCGGCACGATAATCGACACAATAACAGTAATTTCTAACAGCTATAAATATTTAATGATGTCAATTCGTAAATTCAAGAAATAAAAATTTTTTTAGCTCCACAATATTGATTTAAAAATGCGAAAATCTCTGAAAAGTTCATGATAAACTAACAGCATCGGAAATCCAATTGAAAATGCACACCAAGTTCTTGCATTCTGCACATCACCTTTTCTTAATTTCTCTTTTCCTGAACATACCACTTAAATAACTAATTAAATCTGAAATACACGAACAGTTAATTTTGAATAAGCTTGAGCCAGCTGAACTGCATAAAATTCATGCAATAAAATAAGTAACAGACAAGAGAATACAGTTGATCGAACACGTAAAAATACGTGTAGTAACAATAAGAATTAAAATGAAGAACGCAGTTGGTTAAACGACGTAAAATTAATGCATCAATAAGAAATACCATCCAAAAGCATGCAATTAGTTAAGTTGCATTGCATGCAAAATAATTAACAAGCAGAAACATGCTAGTTGAATCACGCATGCAGTAACAATAAGTGGCAGGCAGAAGCATGCAGTTAATCGAATCTCGTAAAATGAACGCGTAAACAATAATTAGCAAAAGCAAGCAGTTAGTTAAACATGCAGCATGGATAAGCAGCAAATAAAAGCATGCAGTTAGTTGAAACATGTAAAATGAAGACATCAACAATTAGTTACACAGAAAAGCATGCAGTTACACAAACTACGTAAAATACATGCAGCAACAAAATGTAATGAACAGAAGCATACAATTAATCAAATCATGTTAAATACTTGAGATAACAACAAACAACAAAAAAGCATGCCGTTAGTTGAACATGCAGCATGGATAAGCAGCAAATAAAAGCATGCAGTTAGTTGATGCACAAAGGCATAGAATCAGTTAAAAAAATGTAAAGCGAGCAGATGAGCAGTAAGTAAGCAACAAAGCTTGCAATAATAAAAATCAGAAATATGCAGTTAGTTGAAAAAGTAAAATACATGCAGCGAAAAAAAAAAGAAATAAAAGCTTATAATTAGTCGAATTACTTAAAATACAAGCGACATTAATAGCTAATAAATAAAAGTATGTAGTTAGTTGAACCTTGTTAATTACATGCAACCATGCAAAATGCATGCATTAACAATAGATAACAAACAAAAGCATGCAATTAGTTAAAAAACGTAAAATAAATGCAATAAAATTAAGAAACAATACCATGCAATTAGTTAGATCTACATAAAACTTATGCATCAGTAGTAAATAAAGCATGCAATTAGTACATGCAACAAAGAAAAGCATGGAGTTACTCAACTATATGCAGTAACAATAAGTAATAAAAAACATACAATTAATCAAATTACATATGATACAGTGATAGTAAGCGGCAAAAAGCATGCAGTTAGTGCATGCATAAATATAAGTAACCAACAAAAGCATGCAATTAGTTAATAAAATGAACACATGAACTGTAAGTAAGTAGCATGCAGTTAGTTGAACTGCGCTAATTTCATGCAATATTAATAAAAGACAGAAGCATGCAGTTAGAACATGTAAAATTCATGCAATAACAATAAATAATAAACTGAAAGATGATGTAGTTAGTAGCTATTTCAAAATGCAAAAAAGTAAAGAAAAAGAAAACAAATTTATTTATAATTCGAGAATAATGTATGTGAATTTAGCGACTAGCATGCAACAATTAAAAGAACAGAACTGCATGCAGATATGAAGTTTAACTAAGTACCAGTAAAAAATGCATCAACGAGAAATAGGTAAATCTATCAGAAAGCATGCAGTTAGTGAAATTAAATACTAAGAATACTATCAATTCTATTCTACAAATACAATATTAAAGCAAACTATAAAACAGTGACTATGATAATAATCAGGGAAAATAATAATAAATTTCTTTTTTAATAACATTTATATCTTGTTTTTACGGTTATAAATTTAATTTTTTTTTATGTCCTGTTTTTTTTGAAATTCCACCAACTTTCATCTGTGCTGCCACTGGATCTGCTACATTGAAAACATGCATGCAACAGCAAGCTATGCTGCATTTTAAGTCGGAGCATTTTTACAATTTGATGTTTAAAACCAAATTAGTGGAATTATGGATGAAATATCGGTGTTATCTTCATTATAGATTAATGGTGATAACTTTATCACAGGTGGAGAATTGTTGCTTTCCTCAAATTAATGTCCCATAATTCACAGACTTTGATGTTTCTGTATACTATATTAGCATACTTTTTAGAAACAAGAAACGATTATTGCTTGTGTTGCATTAAAATTTAACTGAATTAAATTTTGTAATTTGTTTATTTAATCTTAATTTGTTGGAGATGTCAATGCATCGATTTTAATTCAATTTTTCAATTTTAAATCATTTTCTATTTAATTTTATAAGGACACTCATTAATAAATAATCATTGCTATTTTCATTCACAACAATTAAATTCAACAATCATTGACAAAGCGTTGTGATTTCCTGTCAAACACTTTGCTTCGAGAATAAAATGAGCTAAGCAAATGGAAACATTTACAAATGGAAGTATTTTAGCCAAACTTTTTTTTGCAGTGAATGGTTTTTGAATTAATGGAATGAACATACTTCCATTTCTCAAGGCAATACCAACAGAAATGCCTATCAATTTTAAATTATCAAATTAATTCTTACATTCATTTTGTTCGAAATAATAAATAATCTCTTGGTATTAATAAATCAAAGAAATCAGACCAATAAAATGAGTTGATAATTTCGAATTATTAAATAGGTTGATAATTTCGAGTTATTAAATAGGTTGATAATTTAAAATGAGTTGATAATTTCGAATTATTGAATAGGTTGATAATTTAAAATGAGTTGATAATTTCAAATTATTAAATAGGTTGATAATTTCGAATTATTAAATAGGTTGATAATTTCAAATTATTCAAATAACAGCAATCAATTCTTCATCTCCTGTATAACTCAATATAATTTGCAATAGAAAATGTATTGACAAAACTGAAACTGCATGAATAAGTGCAAGCTGAGAGTGTCGCGGATTTTAATATCGCGATCTAAAAATATGAGTTGCAAATTGTAGTAAAGATATCTACGTAATTTCCGCAAATAATGCTTATACTTCGGACTCTTTGTTTCCAAATTTATGCTTCTACATATTGAAACAATTTACATCGTTCTTTGTTAGCAATCCTTACAATCATGAGGATATCTACATTGTTCTTTGTTAGCTATCATAATCATGCGGTTATCTAATAAGCTCTTTATTAGCAACTGGTGCCCATGCAAGCACCTCCTCTCCTTTGTTTGGATCATTGTCTAACATCAATGTAGATTTTATAACCATACTATTGTCAATTAGATCAGTTTTTAAATCATCCAATCCTCCGAATCAGTTTATTCAATTGTTGCCCAAATATTTAGCTGGCATCCAACACATCTCCCTGACATCAAACTTCTCCCCCGAATAACAATTTAACCAAATCATAAAGGTTTGTTTCCAAAAACATTTTTTTGCTTCCACTACAATTTTGGTGCCACGAGCCGGGACATGTCCGACAGTATAAGAAAAGGAAGCGAATTATCGAAGTCGAGAACTCTAGAACTTCTTAAAGAAGCAAGTGAACTCGATCTGACCTCCCCGTCTCAAACACTATCACGAGGGGAACTTCAGCATCAATACGAAATTAAATTGCGAATCGTCAAGGAGAAGATCGCACATCTCGAATATTATGCTGGGTTACTCGAAACAGCTAATCAAAATTGGCTGGATAATATTCAGAGCTTGACAATAGCAACGAGGAGAAAGGAAGAGGAGACGAAATACGCCAATATGGTTGACGATCCACAAGGTATTTTAAGTTTAATCACTAGAACAAGAGAAACTATTATTACCCTTAAAATACATACTGATGAATATTGCTCGGTACTACAACATTTAAAACAAGAAGAGGTCAAAGAATCATTTCCAAAGAATAGTATGATTCACACAAATCAAGCAGAAATAAAACTTCCTCAATTACCACTAATAACGTTTAGTGGGGATCCAAAATTGTGGAGGCAATTTTGGTGTAGTTTCAAGGCAGCAGTCCATGAGCAAAGCATCCCAGATATTCAAAAGTTAAACTATCTGATATCATGTCTTAAAGGAGATGCTTTGTTATCTGTAAGAGGTTATGATATAGCGCCAGAAAACTACGATGTTATAATAGGTTTACTAAAAGAGAAATATGGTAAACCTTTCCTTATAAAGAAATCACTCTACAACGAGTTGAATACCATCAAAAAAATGACCGAGAGTGGAAAGCAACCATAGAAGCCATGGAGAGAACATTTCGACAACTGGAAGCTATAGGTGAAAATTTAGAGCATTCAAGCATCGAAATTACAATTGAAAATAAACTACCAGCGTGGATAATTGATAAATTATACCAATTGAAAGAGGATTCGACGAGTTGGTCAGTTAAGGATATCCGGCAGTACCTGACAAAACTAGTTCTAAGAAATGAAGAAGTTGCTAGAAGTCAAGCAGACACAAGGGAGAAGAAAACAAACAAAAATAATGTTAGAGGCGAAACGTCAGCTTTCGCCACAATCAACCAAACAAAGGGAGATAATACAATCAAATCAAAAAAGGTTCCAGGAAAATTTCTATAAATGGGAAAAGGAAACCATGCGTATTTTGCAATAAGGACCACTGGAACAATGAATGTAACATCTATCCCACTCTCAAACTCCGGATGGAACGTTTGAGAGAAATCACTGCATGTTTCAAATGTTTACGAAAAGGACATGCAACAAGTGATTGTAAAAAGGGAAACCTTTGTGTTTCCATTGTAAAAGTCCACACAATACAGCACTGTGTCCCAACAACTACAAGGAACTCACGCAAGCAGTGGATTCCAACAAAGAAAGGTTGGGTTCAGTCACAATCGCTAACTCCATTACCGAAAAAGGAAATCAATGGAAAAAGCGAACCTTACTGTTATGTAAGGAAATAAATGTAACCAATCCAAATCGCCCAAAAATCCAACAAAAGGCTTTAATTCTATTCGATATTGGTTCTCAATTATCGTTCATATCAAAGGATTTGGCTTATCGATTGAATCTACAAGAAACTAACGAGATGGAAATAAAAATTGCTTCATTTGGTGATAAGACGCCAAAAACG